GGGTGGGGGAGGTGTTGTTGTGAGGGAGAAGAGGGAAAGGCACCCTGGCCAAAGTGCTCAGACACCTGGCAGGGCTGGACACTGAGTATGAGAGGAAGGATACTCCCTGATGGGCTTGGCGCTCTCTCCGTGGACAGGTCCCTGGCCCTTCCTGAGGCCCTCCCTCCCCTACTGCCTCAGGGCCCCTGCTGCTTCCAGAGGCGGATTCTCTGTCCCAGCCAAGAGCGGAGTGAGTTCTCTGGGGAGGTGGAGGAGCCTCATCCAGCTGAAGGGGCTTCATCTGGGATTCAGGGCCACAGCAGCACTTCATTCCCTTCTTCCTCCCCTGTTCTCCAGTGGAGAAGATAAAGTCACCTGCTCCACATACAAACAGCTGCTTACAGTGACATTCGACCCCACGACTATGAAGGCTGAAGAGAGCGACTGATCATCTGTCCAACCTCACCATTTCACTTTGTTTTACCTAGTTTAGTAATCATAAAAATAATATACAGTAGCCCAAAGGTGGAAACAACCCAAATGTCCATCAACTGATGAATTTAGGATAAACAAAATGTGAAATATTATTTGGCTATAAAAAGGAAAGAAGTACTGCTATATGCAATGACATGGATGGACCATGAAAACATTATGCTAAGTGAAATAAGCCAGAATTAAAAGGCCACACGTTGTATGATTCTATTCTATGAAATATGCAGAAAAGGCGAATCCACAGAGATAGAAAGCAGATTGGTGATTGGCAGGGGCTCAGGAGAGGGGAATAGGGAGTGACTGCTTGGTGAGTATGGGATTTCCTTCTGCAGTGATGACAGTGTTTGGGAACTAGATAGTGGTGATGGCTGTACAGCACTGTGAATGTACTAACTGGACACTTTAAAATGGTTGAAATGGTCAATTTCCTGTTACATATATTTTACTACAGTAAAAAAATATATATGCCCATAGTGAAAAGCACAATCAGCACAAAACAAGTTGAGTTGGGAATATATGCTCCCTTCGAGTGGGAATATAAGCTCCCTTCACCCAGATTTCTCTTCATTTTCCACAGGGAAGTACTGTTAAGAGTCTCTTGTATATCCTAGAAAAATGGTTGAAATGAATGTGTGTGTGTGTGTGTATCCTGTTAAAAATAAGTGGAGTCATGTTATATGCAGTATTCAGTGTTTTGGTTTTTTTTCTGTGACTATATTAGAATTTATTTCTGATCAGCACAGGCGACCTATTTTATTTACTTCTTTTGTGGTTGGAAAATATTCCAGCACACAAACATTATCGTATACATGTTCTACTACCATGCAAGGTCATCCAAAAACCATCATGTAGTTTCTTGTATGGAATGTTAAGTCCTTACACCTAAGCCAGTGACTTATCTGATCCTCAGAGAAACAGATACCTCTTGCAACACTGAAGGAGACCGACTGAGAGACAAGTCAAAACCAAACACTCTCCTTTCATGGCCAATTTAAGAGATTTTTTTCAAAGATAATTTGTACCAGTGCCCTCTAAATTATTTTATTGTACTCACCTATCAGTAAAAATGTAATCATGAAATATAATTACAGTTGTTCATGTATAAATTGCATATATATAAATATTATGTATGTGTATATTACACGTATACAATTATATTGAAACTATAAGCATCATGCTATTCTTAGATTATAAATACTACAAAACATTCACATAGAAATTTTAAAAAGATGCGTCGATCTAGATATAAATGAAGCTTCTAATGCTTCTGCCTACATCATCTCATAAATCCCCTGGGGTGTTCACAACTCTACTCTGAAGACCTCTGATTTTGACCAGGTACTTTTTTATCATATGCCTTGACTTCATAACCTAATCCACCTGTAAGATATGATTCTGCTGAAACATACATCATTTCACCAGTTCACTGAAAGAGGAGCACTGAGGTTAGCATGAGCTTTAGAGCCAGGAACTGTGGCGTAGTGGTTATCTGTGTATTTCCACCTAGCGCATTTACATGTGTGTATCTAGCCCCTCTTTCTTATTTTGAGGGTAGGGGAACAGAGGCCCAGAGAGGGGAAGAGGATTGTCCAAGGCCACACAGAACGGGGACTAGAGCCCAAATTCCTGACCCCCGGGTCCACACCCATGGATATACCCAGGATGTCACTAAATAGGCCATTCATTCAGGCATCTACTCCTCAGGAAGTAGGTATAGCTGGTGGGAGCCAGGCTTGGAGCTTCAGAAGAGGAGCCTCCTGCCCCTTGCCCTCCACTCCCAGGGGGACCAGAACTTACTGTGAGAGCTGATGTATTCAGGGGACTTGCCTGGCCCCAGGGGAAGGGCCTCCTCATAGTAGTCTTCAGGTGGAGGCCTGTTTGGGAGTGGTGGAGGCAGGTCTGCTGCCTGGAGCGAGAAGAAAGAGGTATGTGAGACTAAGAAGGCCAGGAGAACAGAGGGGAACAGCAGAATGACAGGAAGAAGGCTGGGGAGAGAGAGGCAGGAGCTCCTAGAAGGCGGGATCTGACTGTGTAGCTATAATATCTAATAGACTTGCAGAAAGGCAGAGCTGGGAAACCTTAAGAGTTTATTTGGTTGGTCCTGTGTTTCTTATCCAAATTATTTAAGCATCAGGGCTCCTCTGTAATATCTAAAAGTTTTGTGGACTATCACGTAGAAGTTGTTATACACTTGAGTGAGCAAATGCAAAATTATCAAAAGCTACTGTGAGTTCTGCAGCACCCTACAACCACCTCTACAGGACAAGTAAACGTGAGACATTATTTAGTGAAGCAGTATTGCCTCGTGGCCAAGAGCTTAGGTTCTAGGGCCAGGGAACCCTGGCTTTACAGCTACACTCTATTACTTTATAGTTGTGGGACACCGACATGTCACTTACTCTCTCTGAGCCTCAGTTTCCTTACCTGTAAAATGAGGATAACCTCACTCAGTTGCTGTGAGCATTTAAAGGACTTAATTGTGGTCAACAGTTGATACTGTTGATGCTGATGATAGTGAATTATGACGTTGACAGACTATGCTTGATGTGATTATGAGTCCCTTACCCTAATTCTATGGCCCCGAGGCTTGGAACCCTGGATATAATCCAAACCTTCATTTTGCAGGTGAAAAATTCAGGCTCACATAGAGTGAGTGCTTTGCCTAAGGCCATGCAGCAGTAGGGAAGAGGGCAGAGACCACTCAACTTCTGGTCCAGAGCTTTCCCTCTCACTCCACCTATTACTGCAAGGACAAGTCATGACATAACCCTTTGCCTCATCTTTGGGCCTGATGGGACAGGTCAGTTCACTACATTATCTCTGCTCAGAAGGGACACAGTGAGCATGAGTCGTTGAAATGTTCTCATGGTGCGGTTTTTGCCTTTAACTACCACATGGAAGAGAGAACAGGGTCCTGCACATCCAGGAGTGTCCCCAGCATCAGCGGGGCAGCTTCCCTTGCCCCCTCCAGAGGAATAAAGGGCCTGAGGGTGTGAGAAGCCAGTCTATGACTCACGTGTTTCACAGACGGGCTCTTGGCTGACTCAGGGCTGGCTCCTTTGCTGGGCTCCCCATCGTCCTCTGGCATGTCCCGAAGGTCGCTCAGGTCACAGTCTGTGAAGCATCAGGCCATTGGACAGAGAAAGCCGAGGATAAGCATGGCAGAGCAGGAAGAGGGCTGGACTTGGGGTCAGAAGGTCTCTACCACCAAACTCCATTAGTAACCCTAGTGAGCAAATCACTTTCTTGCTCCGAGACTTGGTCTTCTCGTATGTAAAGTGGCTTTGTTTGTCTCTCAGGGTTATGGAGAGAGTCAAATGAGATAAATTTTGGTACAATGCCCTGCAAATCTATAAGGGTTATGCCATGAAAGCAGTGTCTTCCCTAAGTCTTTCAGCCCTAACACTCTCTCGCCTGACCCATAGCCTTCTTCCTATGTCAAGGAGTGTTGTCTTCCCTCAAGATGAAATGGCACTGCACACTCTCTGCATGCAGCCCAGCTCAGCTGCTCCCATGCCCATGGTGCCACTGCATCGCTCAACCCAGGGTCCCAGGCGGCCATTGCTGATGAGTGCAAAGTAGCAGGCTTGCATGTTCATCTCTTCCTTTCCTCAAGTTTTGGGGATGATTTCCCATAACTATACAGGTTTGATTAGACTTTCAGACCTGGCAGGGCCCAGAGAGGCCCAGGGACTTGCCTAAAGTGATCAATGTTGTCATGTTGGAGCCAGGCCCAGGTGCAGGTATTTCCCTGCCCATCCAGGACCCTTCCACAGACAGGTTGGGAAAGGATCACTTACCAAATTCTTCAAAGAGGGACTCCACGAAGCTGGGCCCAGAGTGGAGGTCGGCTGTGTTCACATACAAATAGGAAACTTCTTTTGCTGAGAGGAAGGAGAACATGCCAACAGTGAGGAGGGAGGGGACCTGCAGCTGCTGACTCTGAGGAGGACCCAGGTCTCCATTGCCCCACTTGGACTTCTATCCCACACAGGACACAGCACTCAGTTTGCAAAGCATGTGGGCAACCGAAAGGATTCCCTTGGTTTCAAACCTTGTTTTCATTTTTACATTGTTACTGAGATCTCCTTCTCCAAGTGAAAGGATGCCCAGAGCCCTGTATAGAAAACAAATACAGGGGCTGCTCTGGAATTGGCCAGGGATGGAGGCTCCTGCAAGCTCAGCAAACCACTGCCCCTTTCCTCCTCCCAGTCCTGTGAGGGCAGCCAATGACATCAGCCTGTTTTATCACTGGAAAGTGAGGCTCAGAGTCACTCAGTAGTGACTTCCCAGCATACCACTCAGACCCCTTCAGTAGTGTGGGACACAGGAACAGCTCATTGGGGTTCACTGAGCTCTTGATTTACGTCATCTCATGGGCTGACTTGGGGTGTAGAGAAAAGGCTGGAGCAGATGCGGGGGCCTTGCTGCTGGGAAGACAGTGAGGCAGAGAAGCTGTGGGAAGTAGAGGGCAGGGAATGAATAATGTGGGGTCGGTGTACTGCTCATAAAGGTGGTGTATGAGAATGTGTGTCTGTTTAGGAGTGTGTGATGTGTATGTGCTACGTGTACGTGTGTGTTGTGTGTGAGAGCACGTGGGGTGTGACAGATGTGTGTCGTGTGCTGTGTATGAATGCATGCTATTGGTGAGAGTCGCGTGTGTGCAGTGTGTCACGTGAAGTGTGTATTTGTTATGGATGTGCTGTGCATGTGAGGCATATGTGAGAATATGGTGTGTGTGAGTGTAGTATGTGGTGTGTATGTGAATGTGTGGAATGTGCATCGTGTGCGTGAATTTGTAGTGGGTTGAGGATGGAGAAGCACAGAGAGCTCAGGCAGGGTTGTGGTGAAGGGCCAAAGTGGATAAGGACATTGGACAGACCACGCAAAGTATTAAATGCTGTGCTGTGAGGCTTAGGCTTCCTCCTGCCAGCAGGCCCTAGGGTGCTACTGAAGGTATTCGAGGAGCTCTAGGCAGAGTGCTGATGTCTGACCTGGGAGAGGCTGCAGGCTCTGCAGGATGGACGCCACGGCCATCTTCTTCTCCAGGGTGGTGTCGCTGAGGTATTCATGGTCCAGGAGGCTGAGCAGCCCCGTGAGCTCGGGGAGCAGCTGCTCCAGCACTGAGAAGGAAGCATGGTCACAGTGCTGTGCCCAGGTTCCGGGCCCTGCTCCCATCCCCTAGAGGCCAGGGGAGCAGGGGACAGAGGGTAGGGCTGGGTGCAACAAGGAGACCTCAGGCCTTCACACAGCTATCCCAGTGCTGTCCACCCAGCCTCCCTTGGGAGAGCCCTGCTCAGTTAACTGTGACATTCCTCTGGGCTTCTCCACTCTGCCTCAGACCTCATATGGCCTTTAGCTTGAGGACTGAACCTCCCAGGCTCATTCTGGCAACTCTGAGCCCAGGTAGCCTGAGGAGAGGCACTTAGGCCTCCCTTTGTCCCAGCATGCCCTCTGCTTTGTAGACTCAGGGACACTTTTTCACTGCAGCTCAGGCTCAGTGCAGGTCCCAGGCTGTAGCCCCTGGCCATCCAGGACACAGGCAGGAAGGGAGCCTTCCTGTCCCATCAGTCCATAGACTTCAATCTCTGGAACCTTCTGTTTCCGGTGCCTTGGCAGGAGCCAAACTAAACATTAACCCTTCCCATCCCAGGCCAAAACCCATCATTACCATTTTTTTCCTTCCATGCTATGCCAGTGTTTTTCAAACTTGAGTGTCTATAGAAATTAGCTGGGGATCTTGTCAAATGCAGATTCTGACTCAGGACATCTGGGTGGGAATTGAGAGTCTGTATTTCTGACAAGCTCCCAGCTGCTGCTGCTGCTGCTGGTGGTTGAGACCACATGGAGTTGCAAAATCGTAGAGCACAGAATCCTTTAAAAGCTGGAGCGTGCCAAGACCATGATGTCATTGACATCTCCCCGTCCTGAACAGTAACAGGAACTTGGTTTGCCTTAGAGCTGAAGAGCAGCCTCATTACAGTAGTAGTATTGTCCTGCTTTGCAACTTGTCAGTCCCTTGTGCCTAATAATAACAGCTAACCTGTGCCAAGCTGTGCTAAGCCCTTTCATACTTGCAGTCTTATTTAAATCTCACATCAAGCACTTTATTATGTCCATTATATGGAGGATGAAACTAAGGCTCAGAATGATTAAATAATCTCCAGGTCACACAGCCACCACGGCCTTGACTGGACTGGTTCCCTCACTCTATTCCTTTACCCATAGCACCATAGTGTGAATCAATATTTTATTCCTTTAAATTGATAAGTAATATTCCTGTCAGTTGTCCCCTCTGTCCCTTCCTTTCTCTTCCCCTTCCCTCCCTTTCTTTCCATCCTCTCTTTCTCTTTGCTGTGAGGTTCCAAACATTTCTTCTTGCTGCTCTCAGCAAGTGCCTGAGTGTGGCAGCATTCCTGCTTCTAAAACTCTCCTGCTTCTAACTTAAGGTTTGCTACGATTTTTTCTAAAGTAATAACAATTAGGTTGTGAGTTCTCTGCATTTAAAAACATGAGCTAGAGTACTCAAGCTTTGTAACACTTTTTGTTTGTTTTTCTCCTGGTCCTTGATGGGGTTCCTATCATAGGACCTTAACTTCGAAGTGTTTTTCGTTTAACTGAGATGTGACCAAAAGTGCAAAGGAGGAAACTGAGGGAATCTGGGTGGAGCAGATGGGGCATGAGGAGCTGCCCAGGGCTGCTGGTGGTATCTGCAGCCTGGAAGGAGCTGGCAGGCAGCAGGTGGCAGAGGGAGAGCCACCTAGCATTTCCAGAGTACAGTTGGCCAAGGGAGTGAGCCAGGAAGGAAGGCTCAGTTTGCAAGCAGTGAATGGGTAGGAGCCCTTCCCTAGAACTGAACCGTTATAGTGTGTTGGGAGTTATCCTGCGTCATCTCATTTAATCCTCATAAACCACACAAGAGGTATGTTTTATTGCCGTCTGTGCCCTACAAGGCAGGAAACAGAGGCTTGGAGAAATGAGGTCATCCAGCCAGTAAACAGTAAGGCCGGGCCTTAAGCCCAGGTCTGTCCGACTTCAAAGCTTGCCCCCCTGCTCCTGAATCTTCCATCAGAAGACTTTGGCTCAGAGCAGCAGAGGCCAAGCTGGGGTGGGGAGCAGGCGGGCAGCCCCTCAAAGCCCTCCTGCTGAGGGCTCTGGGCTATGACTTTACTGGGGCCCCTGACCTGGGGGTCCCCTTACTGGGTGGATGAGAGACCCTTACTGTGGGTCTGAAATTCCTGCTCAGTGGGCCTTTCTCCACTGGCCCCTTTGAACTTCAGAGCCCTAACTATGAATATCTCAAAGAAGAAAAACAAGTATCTCAAAGCACACACCTGACTTAGCAGTGGGATCTCATCCCAGAGAGAACTGTACACTTCATGCAGGAAAGCTCGGCTTTTCAGTACAGAACTCCTCCAAAAAGCTGGCTTTCAGGTGCAGTGAACACAGAGGTGCCTTTGATGGCAGCTTTGTCTTTAAGACCAAATAATTCAAGCCACAAGGATTTAAACCACAGAGAATTGAATTTGTAGAAAAATCACATAATGCATATGACAAATGGTTCTGCCAGGGCTCATACGGGACAGCAGACTCAAATTTTAGCAAGAATAAGACTCTCCCGGAGGGTTTGTTGGAAATGCAAATTCCCAGACTTCCTATCAGGAGAGTCAGATTCAGTAGACCCTGTACTGGGACCCAGCAATCTGCATTTTATTATATATATATTTTTTAAAGTATGTTTTTATTGACTTTTAGAGAGAGAGGAAGGGAGAGGGATAGAGAGAAACATCCATGAGAGAGAAACATCATCAGTCGGCCGCCTCTTGCACGCCCCCTACTGGGAATCGAGCCCACAACCCGGGCATGTGCCCTGGCCAGGTGGAATCTGCATTTTAATAAGTACTCCAGGTGATTCTGATGCAGGAGGTCAAAGGTTGAATCTTTGAAAACTACTCCACCAGAAAACACTTACTATGGGGCATGCTTGTGACCACAGGAAATGTGGGAAGACCTCTCTCATTCCTTAAGAACTTATCCTTAGCCATCCCCTTGTGAAAGGACTGAGAGGCAAGGTGGGAAGAGTCCTACAGAACATTATACTAGCTGCAGCATAGAGCCTTGCTTAAGAGAGCACAGCAATTGGGCTTTGGGGTCAGACCTGTGCAAATCAGAATTCCTGTGATGCCATTCCAAGCTGTACCGAATGGGCACTTGAGAGAACTCTGAGCCCTGGTTTCTCACCTGCAAAATGAGAGTGATAGGGTCCCGACCGCCTACGCTGGGAGAACTAGGCTGGGTCATGCTTGTGAAGCACTGAGCATGGTGCTGTGCCTGGGGCCAGCACTCATTCTGTTAGGGCCATGGTATTGCTGCTGCTATTCTTTTTGTTGTTGTTAATCCTCACCTGAGGATATTTTTTCCACTGCTATTCAGAGAGAGTAGAAGGGAGGGAGGGGGAGAGACAGAGAGAAAGAAACATCGATGTGAGAGAGACACATCGACTGATTGCCTCCCGCACGTGCCCCAACCAGGAGTGGGGAGTGAATCTGTAACCCAGGTACGCACCCTTGATGGGGAATCAAACCAGAGACCCTTTGGTGCGTGGGCTGAAGCTCTAACAACTGAGCAACACCAGCCAGGGCATGGTGCTGCTATTCTTAATACTCCCCATAACTGTACAGACTCCAGAGTATTGATAGTACTTTGGGACAGATTTGCTACAGTTGTTGTAACAAGTTCCACGAGGACAGGGACTGTGTCTCAATCATAGTAGATGCCCAGTGAGCATTTATTCAATGGACACGATTTTAATTCTCAATTTAAAGAGGGAAAGTGAGGGTCAAGGAGGTGATTTGACTTGGCTGTGGTCACACAACCAATTGAAAATTAAAGTACCTTGTGCTAAATCCACACTAAGCTTGATGCTTAGATGAGTCATAAAGGAGCACAGGCTGTGCACAACCTGGGTCCCCTCCCAGCCCTGCTGGTTTCCAGTTGTGGGCCTCTGGGGAAATGTCTTAACTTTGCTAAGCTTTCAGTGCACTCAGCAGGTGCTCTGTTCATTCCTAGGTGACTCCTGGCAGCTTCAGGTGCAGTAGTAGGCACAAGGGAGGGGGAATCTGGGGGCAAGAGGGCAGCAGGGGACTCTGCAAACCCTACCACGTGGACTGTTCATGTCTCTGGGCCTGACACTGAGCTTGAGGTGCTTATGGCAGTGGGAGGCAGTGGGTCCACTTCCCTCAATGCTCACACTCTAAGACCCCCTCCATGTCAGGTGAAGGGGACAGCATCTTCCAGTTGGAGGGGCAGTGATGCAACCTAGAAATCCTGTGCCTGTTGTCCCCAGTCAGGAAAGATCTCCTTCACCAATTCCTAACCCGCCCCCTTCCATCTTCGCTTTTGGTCTACATCGTTTCTGCTTTCTGAGGACAGACGGGGGCATCAAGGACAGGACCGTCTTTTATGTCTAAAGTTTATTTAGAACCACGAATAAATTTCATTGATCTTGTTTGGTTTAGTTAAGCCTTAGGGAGGTACAGTGAATCCCAATGAGGAAAAAACACAGGAAGAAATGGTTTAATCATTGTTTATAAGTCTTCAGTCTTTCACTATGTGGGACAGGCAAGCACAGAAACCCAAGATGGGCAATAATTGTTCTCTGGGATGCAAAAACGTTTGCCAAATAAAATTACAAACCTATTTTAAAATATATCTAAGATTAGGCCACAAAGTGTTTATTGTTTCTGGTGAATAACCAACTAAGGCTAAGATCAATTTTCTTTCTGTTTCCCTCCCCTCCCCACGTAATTGAAATAAAAAGGTACAGAGCAGAAATTAAGCCACAGGCAAAAAGCACTGTTACTTGCTCCCAGGACTGCAGCCCTGGTCCATATCCCTGGTCCACACCCCTGATGCAGCTTGAGAGGGAAACCTTCAAGCAAAATGCTTAGCGATGCCAGTGCAGTTCCAGTGCAGGGAAGGTCGGATTCATTTAGAGGTCACATGACATGGCACTGAGTCTAATTTCCATGACAAGAGAGAAGTGAATAAATTAATCTTCAGCAAACCACAAGAATAGCAACCTTTGTTTTGCCTCCTACCAGGTGGGCTCAGTTGACTTCTGATCTCATTCCTGGTCACCTTTTAGACTCTGGAATTTACAAAAATGCTTGCAAACAGCTTACAAGTGAGAATTTCAGTCACTGCAAAACAGTAGGAGGAAACACAATTTCTCCTTTCCTCACCTCACTATTTGAAGAGTGTCTTTAAAACAAAGATAACTCATCCTTCTTTGTTTTCAAAGTCAGAGGAAATGCAACTAGCATGGTTTGAAGATGGAAAATAGGAAGAATTGTCAGAATGTGGTTTTATGAAGGGCCTACAATTTTTCTTTTGGTTTATTCAAATTTCCTTTCTCATTTCCAAATAGCAAAGCAAACTAACCCAATTTCCATCTCATAAAGGCTCCTGACCTAGAGAAAGAACCAGTGTATTACTTTAAAAAATTTTGAGTATGATTTTTAGAGATGACTCTGTATTTGTGTTTGAACAAGCTAGCACATTAATGAGGTATGACCCATGAGAGCAGTGGAGAGGCAGGTTGCCCTGGAAAGGAAAGCAGTACATTCAACAGATGTGACCTCAGTGTTTGGTGGGAGAAGGAAAGGAAGAGGAACCTCTCTTGTGGCCTTCCAACCCTGCAGGCCCTTCCAAAGAGATCTCCCTCCAGGCTGCCTTCATGCTCTGTTCCTCAGCCTCTTAACCCAGGGCTTTTGCATATGCTATTCCCTCTGCCTATCAGAACTCCCTTCTCCTGAAACCAGTACTGCCCCCCTTCAACTATGGATTCACTCATGACTTCCTAAGGGAAACTCTCCCTGTCCTCTGGACCACAACCATTTCCTATTTATGTTGTCACAGCATCATTCTCCCATGGTACTTTTTATGGTGAAAAGTTATATTTACTTACGTCTTTCTTTGATTAATGCCCGTTTCTCCCACATGAGCCTGAACTCCCTGAGGGCAGGAATAGTGCCAGCTTTTGCTAGTGCCTGACACAGATAAGTACTTAAGTATTTGTGGGATGAATGAATTCTTGAAGCAAACTTTTCTTCAGGGATGATGAAGTATAATGGCTAGTTGATGTGATTTTAAAACCAGGTCTGTCCTCACAGTGGTTCAGTATAGTAAAAAGATGCTAAAAAAAAAAAAAAAAAGGAAAAAAAAACCCCTGAGGAACAAAAGGAACCANTCTCCCTGTCCTCTGGACCACAACCATTTCCTATTTATGTTGTCACAGCATCATTCTCCCATGGTACTTTTTATGGTGAAAAGTTATATTTACTTACGTCTTTCTTTGATTAATGCCCGTTTCTCCCACATGAGCCTGAACTCCCTGAGGGCAGGAATAGTGCCAGCTTTTGCTAGTGCCTGACACAGATAAGTACTTAAGTATTTGTGGGATGAATGAATTCTTGAAGCAAACTTTTCTTCAGGGATGATGAAGTATAATGGCTAGTTGATGTGATTTTAAAACCAGGTCTGTCCTCACAGTGGTTCAGTATAGTAAAAAGATGCTAAAAAAAAAAAAAAAAAAGGAAACAAAAAGCCCTGAGGAACAAAAGGAACCAGAAGCCCAGTTGTTTAAGCTCCCAAAACCCTATTTGGTTGAATTTGTACCCATGGTGTAAGTATGGCTGCCAATAATTTAGTGATGCCCATTTTGTAGTTGGTGGATTTTAATCTTAACATATAAATTAGGAAACTAACATATATTGAACAATCCAAACTACTTGAGTTCAAGTCCTGTTTCCGCATTTCCTAGCTGTGCACCTTTGGGGCACTTACACAACTGCCCCATTCCTCATGTGCATCGTTGGTGACCTATGAGTACACCACCTCATCAGTGGGAATAGGCCTTAATACATGAGAATGTGCCTGGAACAGTGTCTGGCACATAGTAAATACTCAATAAATGTTAGCTATTTACATTATTCTTCCACTATTACCATGTAAGTCATACTCTGCTCTAAGAGAGTTACAGGTACTTGTATTATTTTACAGAATTTCATTCTTATGACAAGGTGGGCTAGCCCCATTTTGCAGGTGTGGGAACTGAGGATTGCAGAATGGGAAGAATACTGGGGAGCTACTCAGGGATGCCTCCCGCAGTGCTCCTTCAGGCTGCTACTTTTGTCTATGTCCAGCTCTGGGTTAACCAGCAGAGAAGCCTCCAGGAACACAGGTGAGGCCAGTAGAATTGCCCCTTCACTTCAGGGGTGCAGAAATCTCTCCTTCCCCTGCCCACAGTCTCTTCCAAGCCGTTGCAGATCTACCCATTTGGGGCTATGGGGACATCGCACTTCCTTCCTTTGAATTTACAAGCACTTCTCTAAGTCCAAGTGAAGGCCAAACAGTGGGCAGAACATTGGAGGGGACCACACTGGTTGGAGTAGCATTGTTGATCACTAAAACAAACACTTCCTGTTGTCCCAGAGTGTACAGGGAAGTCTTCATGGTTCATGTGGGCTGGAAAAGAATGAAAAAAGAGTAGCAAAGAAATCCCAGCTACAAAGTCAATGCCTTAGTGCCAACTGCTTTCCAGGAGTTAAATATAGCGCTGGTGTGAGGGAGGGCAAGGGGGAGCGAGGTCACCTTGGAAGACTTTTGTGTGTGTTAATTAAAGCTCTTGCAGGAAACTGAATATCCTTTATGCTGAAGAGAATAGTACAAGTTTGACTCCATGGGACAGAAACACAAAATCCTGAGGAAGGGAGTGGTAAAGAAAAGTTGGAAGATTTGGGATTTGGCTTAAGAAGATCTGGTTTGGGTTCTAACTCCTCCCACTTACTAGTGCAGAATTTGGGGTCAGCTCCTCTGAGTGTCACTTTCCTCTTCTGTAATGAGGGGTTTAGAATCCCCATGTGTAGGTTTGTGCCAGGGGGCAATGCAGATGGCTGGGGAAGGATTTGTAAGCTGTGGGAATTATTATTAGGGATAGTAGAGTGTACAATTCTCTGACTTACTGTTATTTCAGAGAGACAGGGAAGCCAGAGGTGAGGGACAGCACAGGTCAGGAGGAAGCAGGTGGTGGGTTGTTTCTGGGTGACTCTCTTCCTCGGAGTTGGGTCAGAGTGACAGGGTCAGTGAAAGCCTTGCATCTTAATGGCCTTTCCAGCTCTGCCTAGGTCCTGTCCTCCACCAGCAGAGCCCTCGCTTCGGGCACCTTGTTTCTCAGCCTGGGGGAACCAGGGAAGCCATAGCTCCCTCTCAACCACCCACTTCCAGACAGAAGGGGGTGGGGCAAGCCACCGACTCCTAAGGAAATAACTTTAGGCTGTGGGACGGGGCTCTCCCAGAATTGTTCCTTTGTCTGCAGATTCCTCCCTGTTTAGCTCACAAAGGAAATGGTTCCAGGAGGAAGTGGAAAACTGTGACACACACATCCCCCCCCCCCCAAGATGGCAGCTGTTTCCATTTTCAGCAGTCTGCACGGTCTGCTTCACCCAAAGCTCGGGAAACAGAAGCAGTCCGGGGGGCGGGGTGGGTGGTGGCCTGGGATACCCAGTGATAATGCAGGTAGTATTTTTGAGCTCTTAAGTGATGTTCCAGATGTTGTGCTAAGTATTTTGTGTTGATTATCTCATTTAATCCTGATAATGACCTTGTGAGGTGAGGCAGATACTGCTTTTACCCTGTTTTACACTTGAACTAAGTGAGGCTCAAAGAAGCCCAGTCATTTGCCTAAAGGCACATAGATAACCAAGATTCAAACATAGACCTAACTAGAGCCTAAGCTTCCTATTGCTGCTTTATACCTTCTGGCCTTCTTCTAACTGGGATTCCCAACCCCCAAAGCTCACTGGAACCAGCAGTGAGCACCTCACAACCATTCCCCACTGGTGTCCATTCATAGGATTGCACCTGGCCTGAGGCCTAGATGGGGCTGGGCTTTCTACTTCTGAGCAGTTTGAGTTTGAGGACCCATATCACCAATAGCCTAGGGCAAACATCAGGAACAGCTGGCTCAGTGGTTAAGCATCAACCTAGGATCCAGGAAATCACGGTTCAATTCCCAGTCAGGACACATGCCCGGGTTGTGGGCTCGATCCCCAGTAGGGGGCATGCAGGAGGCAGCCGATCAATGATGACTCTCTCATCATTGATGTTTCTATCTATCTCTCTCCCTCTCTCTCTGAAATCAATAAAGATATATTAAAAAAACCAAAAAACAGATGGCTAGGGGTATGTAGATAATGCAGACAATAATAAAGATCTCCAAGAACATTTATTGAACACTTCCTACAAGCTGGGCAGTGTGCCTGACACTTATTTCTTTTTATAAATAGGATTTCAGGTAGAAAAAAATTGAGTTAATTCTAATTCTTGCTTCATGAGACACTGACACATATAGTTATTTATTTACATAATCAGTTATTTTTGCTAATGTGGTAAGCACCCACAAATCTACCATTCCAAGCAAAAGTCAGGATCTGGACGGTATCTTACTTCCCACTATGATCCCACCTTCTGCCATCTGAAATGCTGCATCCTTCACACTCCTGCCTTCCCTTGTATGTAGTGTCTTTGCAACTAGATGTACCCATAAACATTTCTAGTTGTTAACTGTATTCAAAAAGGGTGTAATGCTAGAGGTAATCTTTTGTGACTTTTTTCTTTACTATTATACTAAGATTTATCCAATTGTTGCCTGTAATTGTGTTTACTCACTGTTTTGTGTGATATTCCATGGTGGGAACATTCTCCGTGCCTAATGTTCTATGCCTACTACTTCATTTAATCTTCACAGCAACCCTGTATGGCAGGAGCTCTTCTTCTCCCAGTTTTACTGACAAGAAACTGAGGCCTAGAGAGGCTAAGGAACTTTCTGGAGGTCACAGGTGCCAGGTTGGAACCTTTGTGTCCTCTCACTGTATGCCTTGTTTGGGTGTGAAGGAGAAAACAGGAGCTGGAGTCAAAAGCCAGGCTCCAACTGCAGCTCCCCACTTGCCAGTTTGTGTGGCCTTGGGTAAATGGCTTCTTCAGCATTATGTGTCTCGATTTCCTCAGCATTAAAGTGGGTGATGGTAACTGCCCTACCTACCTCTCAGGCCTATGGTGAGACTCACATCTGACAGTGTCTGTGAAAAGTAAGAGCACGTTTTACCCTCAAGTTTTGTAACTCAGTAAATTGTGATTAATAGTGTACGCGCCATCTGCTCCCCTCTCCCCAGACAACAGAATCTGGGTAGGATTCAAGAGGTAAGAATGGACAGACTCCCTCTTCTGAAAGGCAAGGTTAGGTTAATGATCAGCCCCTAGGAACCTCAGTGTGATAAGAGATCCAGAGAATCATCAGTAGGTGCTTCGGGCTGCACTAATAGGAACATAGTATGTATTTATCTTTGTTATGTTCAATGGGTCGTTTTAAAAATTATTACTTGTTATTATTTCTTACCTATTTTCAATATCTGAGACCCCACCACCCCAGTGCTATTTGTTCATGCTGTTTCCTCTGCATCGCTTTCAGCTGCTACCCACTACTAGCTGTGTAACCTTGGACAAGTTACCTAACTTCTCTGTCTCATCTGCGAAATGGGGGTAATAATAATACCTGCACTTTATAGGCTGTCATGTGGACCCAGTAGGTATTATATAGAGTGCTTAGAGCAGTTTCTGATACATACCAAGTTGACTATTACTGTTATGTGAAATTGCTTCTACTTCCCACTCATCCTTTGAAAATTGGTTTAGATACCGCTTCCTCCAGGTGGTCTATCCTGCTTTCTTGGACTTGTAAGGTCATCCTGTTACACCCTTCAGAGCAGATGACTTGTTCAATGTTCTCCATTAAACTGTGGACTCATGAGGGCAGAGATGATGCCTGATTTAATATCTGCCACTGTTGCCCAGTGCCCTCCACAGTAATGGGTATGTAACAGGTGACTGGGGAGGGATTAACTGACAGTCAAGAATTCAGAGGAAGGACCACCACAGACTAGGGAGGGGCTGTAAATCCTGCCTATGACAACTGTCTCCAAGAGCTCATGTGGTGGGGAGAGGGGGAGAGGGAGGGGGGAGGACTGGGCCCCTGGGGGTACTGGAGGGCAGAAATCTGAACTAAGAAGCAGCAGATGTTCCTTCCAAGAGTTTAATCAGTACAGTGGGTAGTTGAGACACTGGGTGACTGGGGCAAAAAACATCCAGAATCAAACCTGGGATTAGCCTTCCCTAGCCTGGTGACCCTAGGCAGGTGATGTCGCCTCATTTTTCTCATCTGTGAACATGAGAACTGTGATAACAAGAGCACTCAACTCTGAAGGTTGTGGTGAGCAGAAAGGGAGGTAATGAGTGGAGTGTTAAGCATTGTGCCAAGCACATAGGAGTCCTTCTGTAAGGTTTGGTTATTACTATTGATGTTGTTGGCAGTGACAGGGGATTCAGGTATCACCCAGGAGTTAGCCTAAATGTTCCAGGTGGGAGGCTAAAAGGTCAGGCTCAGATTGGTAACCTTGACTGCTGCTGAGGTAAAAAGTCCCTCCCTCCCTTCCTTCCTTCCCTCACCTGCCAAAGCCAGTGTTAACCCTGACTTGGTTCTGGGCCAGGTGCCCAGGAATCCAGTTCCCAGGGAGCCCAGCCATGCTGGGGCAGGCTTTGGAAGACCCTGGGGGTGATTCCTGCCCCCAGCACTAGGGGTGGGGATCAAGAAAATGACTGTTGGAGGTCCCTGGAATGAATGTCTTGAGTCTTGAATAGCCCCAGACAAATGTCTCCTCTGCTCCTTCATTAGACCAACAATTCTACACAATTAGCACTATTGAAAATGGACAGAGTTTGAAGTTTTATCTCTTCTTGTTCTTAACTGAAACATGAAGGTGAGTTAATCTTGTACAGTCTGCTGCTCACCTGCAATATTTGCTGCAGCTCCTAAGGGTCACCTCTTTCCAGTCTCTCCCTTTTTACTCTGACATGAGCTCACTGCTCGCTTTAATAATTTCCCCAAATGGCAACACTTAGCATAACCCCCTCCTGGTCACACCTCATCAAGAATTCCCCAGGGCAAGGCACCAGTTTCCTTTGTGACACAGGTGAAGAAAGAGCTCCACATGCAGCACGGACTCCCTGTTGCTTATCCCCAATTCCTTTGTAATTCCATCCTTTGGATGGGCCCGTGAGAAGAGAGAAGCCGAGGGAAAGTGTTCCGGAGAGAACCTGGATTTCAATCTAATTCATTAAGAAAGGTGATCATTTACAAACCTGTATTTTAAGCATTAGCTTTTTTTTTTTGAATGCTTGCTAGTGCTGAGTGCTTTCCTTGCATGAATTCAATTATCCCCCAAGGATAGGCGGGAGATTGTTATCTCCATTTTTAGTTGAAGAAACTCAGACTCAGGGGATTAAGTGGAAGGAGTAGAACTGATTCAAA